TCATTTAGGTAAAAACTAAATTAAATAATCGCTTTTTTTCTGTTTATTGTTTTCTTATTTTTTTCTTACAGAAGAAATAATCAAAGTCGAATCTTCATTATCAGAAACGAAATATTGTTTGGGTGTTTGCAAGTGTAATAAAGAAAATATGAATTCAAATGGTAAAATGAAAATTTTCTTTTAACCAATTTAAATTAAATTGTAATAAGTCAAACACCATTGAGAAATACGCCTTCATAAGCAAGATATTTTTTTTCTACTTCATGTTTGTTTCGACCCAACCCTAAATACCAATATCTAACGAGAGAGTTAATCGAACTTATTAATCGTCATTTTGAACTTGTATTGACACCAAAAGGATTTAGTTAAAGTAAAAGAATTTAACAGGGTTATAGTCAATGAGCCAAATTATGACTGTTTTATCGCATTTTTGACCAGAATATATCCATAGACTTAAGTCATGTGATCTTCGGAATACCCTGAAAGTTTCAGCTAAAAAGAAAACGTACATTTATAGGGATATTGCATTTCCAAGTAAATTTTATTTTGGTCATATTTTGATGGATGTACTTTTTGTTTTCGCTGCAGATTTCAGATTCTTCGAAATATTATAAAATCGATTAATGGGCGAAATTACAGATCGAAATTTGGTTATTTTATTTTTGAACAAATACTGAACGATGGATCGCAAAATTCACTAAAAACAGTCATAACACGGCTCCTTTCAAGCCTTTTGTACTCTTAGCGAATTTTGTTTTTATTGGCCTAATATGAATTCAAATGGTGTAGATCAGATCATGTAGTTTCCTCATAGAATAAAGAAAAGCCTTCAAAATATATGATTTTTTTTAATGTTTAGAGGTAGCAGAAGAAGTTGGAATCTTAGAAGATAAGTTCAATAATTTTTAATTTTAAAAAGTGAAACAAATATGATCGGCTTAAGATGATAGACGTTCAATGTGTATCAATCATGATTTTATGAATAACATTTCATCTGAGTAAGTTTCTTTTCTGTTAGAAAAGATTCAAAATTCATTGCATATTTTTCTTTCTTTTAGTGAAATAATGGAATTTAATAAGGTAAAATTAATTATATCCATAGTAGACTCGATAAAGCCAATTTTTGAATTGAAATATATTAAATATTGCCATGTACTATGTAATTTGTTCAAAAGTGAATTGAATAGATTCACATTTTTATTGTTATCGGACGTTGTTAAAAAGAAACAATAATAAACATGTTCTAAATAGCGTCACTATATAAACACAAAATTAAGTCTTGAAAAGATTCGAGTCGACGGGTCAAATTCGGACATGGTTCAACAGTTATTCTTCTGTATTACTACAGAAAAACAAGATTTTCTGCGAATTGGAGTAGTTATATTTATTTTTTCTTGCAGCTTTGTGCCCTCGATGATAGTGTATATATTCTATTGCGCGGTATCGATCCGAACTTGAGTCTAAAAGATGGTTCGAAATGCTAAGCTTTTTGACATTTGAAGAGAACTGATTCAAGACTTTTCCGATTACTCACATTAGGAATCATGAAATTTATGCTTTTTGACTAAAGGAACTGGCCCCTATATCTCTCCTTCTACATAGTTTTTTTTTTGTAGAAGTTCCTGAACCCGATCTTGGACACTTTTTATATTAGCAAGAAACTTAATAGTGCGGAAAAGAGCCATTCTCATAGAGAATATGATAAAAATGGGTAGTATTTCTAGATTTTGACTATCAAAAATCGATTTTTATGAAAAATAAGCGTGATATTCGTAATCAGCATGCAAAAATGTACCAGCAGCTCTATTTTTCATCGTAAAATTTTTGTATCGAAATTTTGACCCGTAGGGGGCCACAGGTTAAAGTTTTAGGAATAGATGGACGAAAGAACCTTAATCAAAAATTAGGCAAACGGAAAAAAAGAAACTTTGTGGAAAAAAGTGTGTAGTCTATGAAAAAAGCGCCACTTCCTTTGACATTAAGCCCAATGATGAGAAATAGTCAAATGAGAAAAATACCAGCAGTAAATAAAATATAAACAGTATGTTCAATACAGGTTATGTAGAAAAGCAAACTTCTAAATCAATGAAGTTTCAAGAGAGCAGTTTTCTGTTCGTATTCATCCTTTGTCTAATGTGTGAAACATTCGTATCTCACAGATTTTCTCTTCAAAATAATTAACTAGTTATACGAATTTTCTATTGAAAGTAGTTTTGTACACATAAATTAGAGAGGAATTTCTAAATTGAAATATTTTTTGCCTTCTAGCAAAGTTCTATTTTTAGTACAAAACAACTCATTTTCAGTGAAATATTACATGAAATCAGTTTCCATGAATATTATAGTGCATCCTTCGTAGTGTTATCATGCTTTTCTATATTCAAGTCGACGTTTTAAGATATTTGTTATAAACTCAGTTTGTTGTCCTTTATGTACAGGTCTAAATTAGTTTTATTTTCTATGAGATGAATTCTGCATGGTATTTAAATACTCATCATGCTTTTTTAAGGAACATCGCATCAATGAAGCACAAAAGAAAAGTAAACGAAAATCATGCAAAACGATTTTTGGTGAATGCCCATTAACATTTGATGGAGCATATGGTCTTACTCAAGCGAATCATTCTATTGAATTTTGTGAATGCGAAAAAGATTGTCGATTCCTACTATATGATCATTTCATCAAAAAACATAAATTAAAAGAAGTTTGCGCTCAACGTCTGATACAAGCTGTTGCCGATAATCACGATCCTAGGACAATAAAATTATTTGATGAAAATGAAAGCATAATTGACTATCTTTGGAAAGTCCTATGTCCTTTTATTAATGGACGACTTGGTTTAATAGAATATAGTCAAAAATATTTAAAAAATATACCATGTTCAAATCAGTTAATTCGACTTGATAATTTAAAACATCATTTACGACGTCGTCATCATGTTTGTAATAGTTATACACAAAAATTAGTTGATGTCTTTAAAGCGATTCAATCAAAATATAATACTACTTCGGCATCACTAATTCCATCGACATGATCAAAAGAACAGAAAGTTTTTGAATTGTTTTCATTGATATTTGTCTCATTTTTTTTGGTTTATGTAAATAAAGAATTCAATAATTTGAAACATACATTTAATTAATTCATACTCAGACGCGCAAACAATATTCGGGAAGACAATAATTTTTTATCGATTTGACAGAGAGGAAATGGTTGCACAAGTTGTACTTAGTTGTTGTTGCTTGTGCGACTAACAAATGAAAGATTCCTACATTTCTTAGTAGATACACCTTACTTCCATGCCTTTGTGTATTATGTATTTTGGAAATTTTGTGTGGGTGCCGGTGTTGGTGCCGGTTCAAATGTCCTCATTCTCTACATTCACAATTGACACCCACACCCACACGTTCGAGGACAATTTTGATCAAAGCAAAGAAAATTTTCATACGACTTTGAAGAAACCTCCACACCTACACATAGAATGACAAAGAATATATCGAATAATGACGTAAAGTTTTAAAGCATCCTCAAATAATCTGTATGCTTCAATCGTGCAAAAATATTACCCGGTATATAGCTTCTCCTTTATCGTAACAATAAATATTATTCCAAATATTCAAACCACTAGAAAATTTATGAGTATTACAATAACACCATCAATTGACACTACAATCAATATTGAACATTAACAAAATTCATTATTTGACTAAAGATAGTGAGCGATGGAAGAGAAGAAAATTGTATCTGTGTGCTGCTCATGTTAGTTTAATTTCAAAATCAAAGATGCAGCTTTAAAATTTCATTGATCTCAATTGACTGTGTTTCAAACAAATTTCATGCAACGACAACAAAATGATTAAAGTATCTATCATCATGTTAGAAAAAAAAGAAAATATTTCATGTCTTCTTAAGTGAATTGCATACTTGACTGAATTAAATTATTAGATCAAAAATATTCATAAGTTTTTCTGATATTTCGTAGCAGTCATATAGAAGTGATCGTGAGTACATCAAAAAATATCTGTTAAATCTGATGAGTTTATTGTTATCTATCTATTCTTTGATCCATTTCTAATCATTATGAAATTATTCAAATCATTATAAATTATTAAAGTAGTTCAGATTAAATTGAAACCTGGCTATAATGACCATATCAATAAAAAAAAGTATGTAAGAAACCAATGACGTGTTCAATTTACTACTATTTTCTTTCACACTCCTACTTAATTTATTGGTTTTCTAAGCGCAATTTCTAATCTGAGCTCACACTTAAATAGAGAAAGATCATAACTAAGTAACCAACTCATAGTAGCTGTCACGAAACGTTCAAAACAAGGATCTTAGTACTGATAACATAGATATTAATTGAAATTAAATTGTCTACGATAGTGTACAATAAAGGAATATAAAAATTGATGACAGATTGAGCAAGGCAAATAATAGAGTTTACCATTATATTGAAAAAAATCTTGAAAACAAATCCTATTGGTATAACAAGTCACATATTGGTTATCAAATGGCAGTTATTGACTTTCGTTGTAGATCGAGATCGTTGAAATTCCATAGATTTCATTCATTTCGTCTTTCAGGAAAAGCTGTTGATGACTTTTGATTAATGTTTATAAGAATATAGAATATATAATGACTTTTTACTTCATTTTGATGTCCAACCTCGAATATAATTCTTACAAAACATACTCTGGAAAATGAATCAAGTATTCAACATTTTTTAATTTACTAATCGATGCACGTTTAATGTGTGCGTGTAGCACTTCTATAGGTTAAAATGAAGGAGCAAATTGAGCCAAATTATAGCTAGTTTCTTGTGTTACAGTACTATTTAATCTCTCTTGAGCAATCATTCATATTTCTTAACGAATAATTTTCTAGCTTAATAAAATAAAGTAATAAGTATGAACATGAGCAGTGCACATATAGGATTTTTCTTCTCTTCTATTCGTCACTATCTCTAGTCAAATAAGGATGTAAACTTAGATTTTCTATGGTCAATATTGATTCTAATGTAGACTGATCCTGTCATTCCAATACTCATATATAACTATCTGGAATAATATTTATTTCTGCTACAATAGCTTACATTCTAATTTAATATCCCATACGTATTGATTAATAAGAATGCCGTTACACAATCAATATACAAATGCAGAGCTGCCATATCTTTCATTAAAAACTCATTGTGGTTTAACTGTGAAGGACATTTTGCAACTTGTTGGTTCATCAATACTTCCACTGATGTTAGGAATCTTTACGGTAATAATCACTTTACATCAACAAACGATTACTACTCAACAACGTCTTGAAGATCGAAAATTAGCTAAAGAACAGCGAGAACAAGACTTGAATATATCACGTGAGCAACGTTTGCAAGATTTAAACATGCTTGCCATTCAGCGAGAACACGATTTAAATATTTCACGTGAACAACGTCAACTGGACAAAGACATTGCCGAAGCAAAACGCATTCAAGATGATTTAATAGCTGAAAAACAACGAAATATGTCAGAACAACAACGAGCTCATGAACTTAACATTGCTCAAGAACAATTGCGTGACTCTGTACTTGTCACTTATATGAATGATATTGGTTTACTA